GCATCTCACTCCTCAGCGTGCCTGGCAAGGCGATGTTGAATAATCCTTGCCAGGACCTTTCCCGGCACACTGAGGAGTGAGATGCCCCTGTAGTTGTTACAGTCTGTGCGGTCCCCCTTCTTGAAGAGGGGGACCACCAGGGCATCCTACACACACACTAACAATAACAATAACAGCCATTCGCCACTAAGTGGCGGTGACGTCACCACGACGCTTGTGCCAGGCCATGTGCACCTTGAGGCCACGTGAAGTGTCGAAGGCCCGCTGGCAGGAGGTCACGGGGCAGACCCAGGTGCCACGGGTCGACTGACTAAGATGACTGAGGTGACTGGCTGATGCACCACCTGCGCCCCCTACTGTGCCAACTTGCTGTGCTTTAGCCACCCGGCGCTCCGCTCGTTGTTGTGAGCGTCGCTCCTCCGCCCTCCGTTGTTGTTGGAGGGCGACTGCCTCCAACTGCCCAGTAGAGTCCTTCACGAGCCTCCTCCACAGAGGCCGATCTTGACACGGCTGGTACCAGTAATCGGCAAGTCCACTCAGCTCCACGTCCTCCTGTACCACATCACTCCATCTCTTCTCTAGCCCATGCCGCGCCCGTTTAGCCCCCTCGATCCGGCCGAACAAAAGCTGTTTCGGCATGCGGTGGCTGGGCATATGGGCTACATGACCCAGCCAACGCAGCCTTGCCTGCCGGAGGAGCTCACCAATGGGACCTTGCCCAGATTTTTCAAGGATTTGTGAGCTCCTTACACAATCCAGCCTGGTTAAACCAATGATGGATCGTAGGCAGGCTAGCCTAAATGTTTCTAACCGGCGAAGATGTTCCATTAGGGGGTTCCACGTTTCGCAAGCGTAGAGAAGGGAGGTAATGACCGTGGCCGAGAAGACCTGAAGCTTAGTGCGGAGCGACAGACCAGGTAGCTTCCACACAGCGTTACGCAACCAATGAAAAGATATTGCCGCTCGACTGATTCGGAGCGAGACCTCTGCTGTTAAGCTGGAGCCGGTCATAAGCACACTGCCCAGGTATGGAAAACTCTCCACTCTCTCCACAACTGCCCCATCACCGATTGGGAGTTGTGGGGGTGTAGTGTCCGATGGTATAAAATACCCAGGCAGGTGCTTAGTTTTGGTGGGGCTGATGGTAAGGCCCCATCTCTTAGTGGCACGCTCCAGTCTCAGCTGCAGCGTCTCCAACTCCTCTGAATGAGCAGCTATTACCAAATCATCGGCATACATATCGTGGTTGAGCAATAGGGAGCCATCCCTTGACCGCACCCGGACATCGATCAGCCTCCCATTATATCTGTACCAAATGGAAATTCCCCCAGTATAGCTATTGAAGGCTTCACGAACAACGTGGTCAAAATAGATGTTAAATAATGTGGGAGCCAGAGGACATCCCTGTCGCACCCCAAGGTGTACAGGGAATGGCTCTGACTCCCGCCCACGTAGTTTTACCCGGGCCCGCTCTTCATCATGAAGGTCCTTAATGATCGTGAGCAGAGGGTCAGGGACTCCAAAAGCACGAAGAATAACCCAGAGCCCAGGCCTACTGATGGTATCATAGGCCTTGACCAGGTCAATAAAGCAGAGATGTACGTCTTGCTGGAATTCCCTACATCTCTGCTGTAGCAGACGGACAGAAAATATGGCATCTGTGCAGGACCGCCCTTTCCTGAAACCGCATTGGAGATCTGCAAGCCTCTCCTCAGCGTGCCTGTCAAGGCAATGTTGAATAATCCTTGGCAGGACCTTTCCCGGCACACTGATGAGTGAGATGCCCCTGGAGTTATTACAGTCTTTGCGGTCCCCCTTCTTAAAGAAGGGGCCACCAGGGCATCCTTCCAATCCTGCGGAACCCATCCAGTGGTCCAGACTGTTGTTATGGTATCATATAGGGCAGTCTGTGCACAAACGCCACCCTCCCTCAGCATTTCGCGTGGGAGATCATCTCTGCCCGGTGCCTTTCCTGGTCTCAGTTTTATCCGGGCCCGCTCTTCATCATGAAGGTCCTTAATGATCGTGAGCAGATGGTCAGGGACTGCAAAAGCACGAAGAACAACCCAGAGCCCAGGCCTACTGATGGTATCATAGGCCTTGACCAGGTCAATAAAGCAGAGATGTACGTCTTGCTGGAATTCCCTACACCTCTGCTGTAGCAGACGGACAGAAAATATGGCATCTGTGCAGGACCGCCCTTTCGCGAAACCGCATTTGGGATCCGCAAGCCTCTCCTCAGCGTGCCTGGCAAGGCAATGTTGAATAATCTTTGCTAGGACCATTCTCGGCACACTGAGGAGTGAGATGCCCCTGTAGTTATTACAGTCTTTGGGGTCCCCCTTCTTAAAGAGGGGGACCACCAGGGCATCCTTCCAATCCTGCGGAACCCGTCCAGTGGTCCAGACTTGTTATGATGTCATATAGGTCAGTCTGTGCACAAACGCCACCTTCCCTCAGCATTTCGCGTGGGAGATCATCTCTGCCCGGTGCCTTTCCTTGTCTCAGACTCCGGATCGCCTTCAGTACTTCCTCAACAGATGGCACCTCAGCCAGCCACTCACAGGGGGTGACTTCTTCCAATATTTGAGGCACCGCAGCATCAGCAGGGTCATCCCCACTTTGTGCCACGATGTTTTCCTGGCTGAGGGATTTCCCCTCCCCCAGGACCTCACAGAAATGCTCAGCAAATCTGAAAACCTGTTCCTAGGGGTCGGAGATTGGATCACCGTTTTTTCCCATAATGATGGCAATAGGTGTGGCACTGCAGGTTACTTTTTTGATGGAGTTAAATAGAGATTTGTGATCGCGGGCCACTGAGACAGACTCCATCTCCTCAGCAACCCGCGACCACCACCCATCCTTGCAGCGCCTCACGGCTCTCCGAACCTCCGAGCGAAGGTTGCGGTAAGCCTCCTCATTCTCTGACGTGGGATTCTGTAGCCGATGACAGTGGGCCTGTCGCTTTTTCTCAACTATCCTGAACACCTCCTCTGTCAGCCAGGGTCTCTGGGGAGGTCTGGACCGTGTACCCAAAGCAGCCATTGCAGCTGCATGAGTCACAGTCGTAAACCTCGCCCATTTACCCACGACATCAGGAGGAGTGGGGGACGATGCCAACCCCAGCCGCAAGCAAAGATGAAATTCTCGCATGCAACTTTCATCAGATAACTGAGACCAGGCCACTTTAGGTTGGAATGGGGTCCTGGGTGTACACCCACCACCGGAGTGGAAGAATGGCAGGCGCATCTTACAGATGACTAGTCGATGGTCAGAGGGCAGATCAGCTCCACGGTAGGTCCTGGTGTCAAGGACATGGGCCCGCATCCGCTATTCCGTCATTATGTAGTCTAGCAGATGTTCTTGCTTGGACCCAGCATGCATCCATGATGTGTGGATGCACCGATGCCTGAACAGCGTGTTGGTAATTACAAGCCCATGGGCTGCACAAAAATCTAGCAGCTTCCTACCGTTGTTATTGAGCTGATCTGGCCCATGCCTTCCAATCACTCCAGACCAGGTGCCAGCATCATGACCAACTCGGGCATTGAAGTCACCCAACATGATGACTCTATCCCGAGGGGCCACTTTAGCCAGCACCTGTGACAGGAGGTCATTGAAGGCATCTGACTCATCGGCCTTGCCTGCATCCCTCCACGGATATTCGTCTTCGGTGGGGGCGAGCCCAAAGTAGCCTGGCGCTTACAGCTTCCCACACCTCACCGCCACGCTCCCATGCCCCCATCATTCTTTTGTTCAGAAGAAGAGCCAGTCCCTGTTGTTTAGTAGTCTCCTGCACCGAGTAGAGGACTGTCCACCCCTCATAGTGCCAGGACCCAGAGCCGGTCCACCGGACCTCCTGAATGCTACAGAGATCCAGGCGGTACCAGTCAGGCTCCCGACAGAGGAGTGGCAGCCTCTCCTCCGCAGTGAGCGTTCGAACACCACGTGGCCATCCGTAGTGGCTTTTTGTTGTTTCTGGAGGAGCCCCGAGGGTACAGATTCAATCTCCTGGCTCCGCCAAATGGGGTTTGGCCAGGAGACGTCATAGACGCCTGTCCCCCCGGGGCCTCCGGCACAAGCTTATTAATTAGATATTTTAGACGTGGTTTAGTGGTAATTTATTGAAGGTGGAGTGGTTGCCAGCCCCTCGCACCCGTCCAGATCCCCGATTTAGCCACTGTGGTAGCTACAAATGCCCCAAGGGGAAAGGCCAATCGGAATTGGCCCTCACACACACACACCCACACACACGCAACTTATACCGAGACACAACACAGCCACAACAGTTTGCAAAATTTATTCACCCAAAGCTGGTTTTATTTTTTTTGTTCACTCCACAAAATCCACACGCACGCGCGTCGCAAGCGGGGCTTGTTCTTGGGGTTTTCACAGAGGCATGCCTTCTTTTATGCTCATGCAAAGAGAGAGAGAGAATATATAACGCGCCACTTTATCCCAACAACAACGCCAACAACATCACTCCCGCCCGAAGCCCCCCCACCTCCCCCCCCCCCCCCCCCGGGAATTGAGGCGCACCTTTTGCTGTGGGGCTAGTGGGAGAGATACTCTCGTACACCTAACATTGGATCAAAAGCCACTTTGGGGAGGGTAGTGAGTCTGTACCCCCATCTCTCTATCCCCCCCCGCCTTGTACCCCGCTTCTCATAACCCGTCTGTTGTGTTTGTTCCACGGGGTGTGTGTGTGTGAGTCTCTCTGTGTGTGTGACTGTGTGTGTGTGGAGCTGAGTGGACTTGCCGATGACTGGTACCAGCGGTGTCAAGATCGGCCTCTGTGGAGGAGGCTCGTGAAGAACGCTACTGGGCAGTTGGAGGCAGTCGCCCTCCAACAACAACGGAGGGCTGAGGAGCGACGCTCACAACAACGAGCGGAGCGCCGGGTGGCTAAAGCACAGCAAGTTGGCACAGTAGGGGGCACAGGTGATGCATCAGCCACTCATCTCGGTCATCTCAATCAGTCGACCCGTTGGCACCTGGGTCTGCCCCGTGACCTCCTGCCAGCGGGCGTTCGACACTTCACGTGGCCTCAAGGTGCACCTAGCCTGGCACAAGCGTCGTGGTGAATGGCGGTTGTTGTTGTTGTTGTGTCTGTATATTTGTGGTGACGCAACCCATCGGTCATGCAGCCCCCCCCCCCATCCCTCTTTTTGGGGTAAGTGCGGAGGTTTGGGCAGCGTTGATGTGGCCACAGAGGCCCAGGCCCATAGAGACCCACAGAGGCCCACACAGATTAGCACGGTTGGCTATGTATGGTGCGAAAGAAGTTCAACACACGCACAGAGACCCACAGACACCCAGGCCCATAGACACCCATAGAGGCCCACACACATTAGCACGGTTGGCTACGTACGAAAGAAGTTCAACACCGAGACCCACCGACATGAGACTGTGTCCTGGGTCTTGTCGCGACACGGTGGCTGGGTAGATGTTAACTACCTCGCCCGGTGTACAGGAGGTCGTGGACTCGATCCCGGGGCGGTGGTGGCGATGGTGTGTGCGGGGTGTGTGGGGGGCTAGGGTAGGGGTGGCTAGGGGGAGGACTATTTTGGAGTTCAGAGGTCGCGGCCGCAGTCGGGGCACAGGATGTCATCGCGCTCGGTCAGGAAGCCGCGACCCACCAGCGACACGGCGCAGCGCTTGCACGTGAAGCAGTCGTCGTGCCACTGCCGCTCCTCGAACGAGATGTACTTGGCACCGCCCAGACCTGACACGCGCGGAGAGAGAGATGGAGGTAGAGAGTGAGAGAGGGAGATGGAGGAGCGAGGGATGGGCGGGTGGGTCGGGGACAATTCCGCCGTGCCACTGCCGCTCCCAGAACGAGACGGACTTGGCACCGCCCAGACCTGACACGCGCGGAGAGAGAGATGGAGGTAGAGAGTGAGAGAGGGAGATGGAGGAGCGAGGGATGGGCGGGTGGGTCGGGGACAATTCCGCCGTGCCACTGCCGCTCCCAGAACGAGACGGACTTGGCACCGCCCGGACCTGGCACCGCGGTAGTGACACGCACAATGGGAGAGAGGGAGAATGAGAGGGAGAGGATGGGTGGGTGTGTGGGTGGGGGAGAGTGTCGGGCGGCAGACAGATTTGTGGAGAAATCCTCCTGTTTCGTTCCCTCTATCCCTCTATTTAAGCAACGAAACGTGACGATGCCGGGTGTAATGACCGTGTTTTTGTACTGTTTGTTGTTGTACCGTTCTTACTCCGTGCCCCTACTGGACATCTGTGAAGAAAGAGCTTTACAGCTCATTGGATTCCTCCTTCAATATAAACAAATATTCTGATTCTGATGAGTGGGTGCATGGGGCATGCAAGCTGGCAAAATGTGAGCGCGGCGGTGTTGGCGAGCGGGTCGGTGGGGTGAGCGAGCGCGGCGGTGTTGGCGAGCGGGTCGGTGGGGTGAGCGAGCGCGGCGGTGTTGGCGAGCGGGTCGGTGGGGTGAGCGAGCGCGGCGGTGTTGGCGAGCGGGCAGGGCAGGGCCCCCTCGTTGCCTCACCGCTGATGGGGCTGGCGCAGGCGACGCAGCGCTTGGCGTAGAGTCCCGAGAAGCACTCGAGGCAGTAGGGGAAGTCGTCGCGCGACGTGAAGCGCTGGCCCGCCAGGGCGCGCTTGCACGAGGTGCACACGAGGCACTCGCGGTGCCACGGCCCGTCACGGTACGTCACGCCACCCGCCGTGATGGCCTGAGGGGGGGGGGGGGGGGGGGGGGGTGGGGGGGAGGATGAAATCCGTAACTTATAAGTGCCATACCTTATTACAGACCAATTCAGACCTTGTTGGTCACCCCGTGCCCCTTATAAATCTCAACGTTCATCCTACAAAGTCCCATAATCACAAGGAGAGAAACACAAACACACAGACAACATTTTTCGTATTATTTTTGCCCCGAAATTGAAACGGCTGGACGCCGCATGGACCTGAAAACTCAATTTCCCTGTACAAGAATACGGGCTATCACAAGGGAGAAACACAAAGAAATAGGCAAAAAAATATTTTTGCCCCTACTGAAACGGCTGTACGCCGTATGGAAATTAAATATCCCTGTACAAGAATACGGGTAAACCGTATGGTTTGACAGGTATGAAAAACGACCCCGAAAGCATCGGGAAAGGGAGCAGGGGAGAGACGCGTGGGGTGATTAAGCTAGACTATTCAACTAAACTCTCTCTTTTACTTTAGCAGGTAAGGCCCCGCTCAGCTGCTCTGTGGCTCTTTTCCGAAGTGACCGGGCGATCACAAGTGATAGCTCAACAAAGCGGCATATCGTCATCACGTGGACATTTCTCGCAGCAGCCAAATACTCTAAATGCGTGACGTTGATTCCAAATATGGAGGGGAAAAAACCGAAGGACCCGGAGAAGGTTCCACGTGACCACGGGGAGAGACGCAAACTCCAAATATAAAGTCGGCATCAGGGTCAGGATCGAACCCGTGAACCTCCTGCAAACCATTGCAAGGAAGTAGTTAGCATTTACCTAGCCAGATGTCCAGTATTTTACACCTTTAATACGCCATTCGCATGAACCTTGTATACAAACCCGCCTTTCAAACTCAGTAATATACTGGAGAAATCCAATGAGCTATAAAGCTCTTTTACACGAACAACCAGTGGTTTACATCGTTGATATCCCCCCATTCATTTATCATTAAACACAAACCCTCCAATACGAAGTCGACTTTTCACCATTAATACGCCATTCCCATGAACCACAAACCTTGTATACAAACCCAGATTTCATAAATGAGAATCTGAATTTATAATGGCGAAATCCGATGAGCTATGAAGCTCTTTTTCGCAGACGTCCAGTAGTTTAAACCGTTAAACCCCCCTTCCCCCCGCCCCATTCATTTACCATGACCCACAAACCCGCGAATACGAAGTCGACCTTTCAGAATTTAGAGCAGGAAGTGTGGCGGCGGCGGCCATTTTATTTTCTGCGCTCAATTACGTTGCTAAGCGACCGCCCTCTCGTCCCGCCCACCCCCCAATCTCCTCCCCCCCTTCCCGCCCACCTTCTTGCAGAGGGTGCAGTGTTGAGCGAACTGCTTCTCGTAGCACGGCACGCAGTACTGATCCTTCTCGCGCGGCACAAAGCTCTTGCTGCCGATCGGCTGCTGGCATCGGGCGCACCCGAAGCACGTCTCGTGCCAGCTGCTGCCGCGGAACTCCATCTTGCGCGTGCCTACCGGGTTGGGGAGCAGTGCCGGGTTAAGCTAGTGCGGAGCCTGTAGCATTTGTTATAAAGGGGCCCTAAATAATAATTAAAAAACACATAAATATTAGAACACATTTTTTACTTGCACAGTAAAGTAATTGTATTTTTTCATTTGCTATTCAGCCAGATAATACCTTAAACACCAAGTCGTTCATAAAAGTTGAATGCGGTATAGTACTATAGTAATAGAGCAAGTGCAGAATCGCTGAACCGGAATTGATAGCTTGAAAGCATTTAGCACGGGGCCCTTGAAAGTGCGGGGAAACGTAGCATTTGCAGCTACTTTTGCTACGAAGATCATCTGGCACTGGTTGGGGGGTCGGAGGGAGGTTAATGGAGGGGGTGGTGGTGGTTGCGGACAATAAAGGAATGGCGGTCGACGTTGATACTAAGATTAAAAGAAAGAGTTTATCATGGGATCTCCTTTGCCAGTATCAAAATGATTCCTTGTAAAAGGTTTCTGTTTGGTGTTTTAACATCTTAACGCCTGTTTTATTGCCAGAAAGGGTATAACCTATTCCTGCGAAAAGAGTTTAGTTGAATAGATTCGCTTAACCACCTCCCGTGTCTCTCCCCTGCTGCCTTCCCCCGACGCTGTAGGATAGTTTTTAATACCTGTCAACCCCATAAGGTTTAGCCGTATTCTTGTACAGAGGAAATTGTGTTTTCAGGTTCATACGGCATACAGCCGTTTCAATACGGGCAAAAAATAATAATTTGTGTTCCTCCCCTTGTGATGGGCCTTTATAAGATGAACGTTGAGGTTTATAAGGGCACGGGGATGATCAATAAGGTCTGAATTAGTCTGTAATAAGGTAGGGCACTGATAAGGAGTTGACAGGTGTGCATATTCCTGAGCGGGAATCGAACTCGGGGCGCCGGGTTCGTAGCGCAGTGCGCTAACCGCTACACTACCGCTCTCCACACACACACACGTACACACACGCACGCACGCACCGGGCAGCACGGGCTTGTTGCAGGCGGCGCACTTGGCCGAGTAGTGGTTGGCGTGGCACTCGGTGCAGAGGAGCTTCTCGTCACGCGCGCTGAACGCTTTGTCGGCGAGAGAGCGCTCGCACGTGGCGCACTTGAAGCACCCCTCGTGCCAGTGGCGGTCCTTGTACGACAGGTCCTGTCCAGGGCGGGTCGGTGGTGGGTGGGTGGTTGGGGGGTGGGGGGTGGAGGTGGGTGGAGGGTGGGGAGTGGGGGGGTGGAGAGTGAGTGAGTGGTGGGGAGTGGGTGGGTGGTTGAGTCGTGGGTGGGTGCGTGGGTGGGTGGGTGGTGGTGGGTTGGGCGGTGGGTGGAGGGTGGGAGGGGTGGAGGTGGGTGGTGGGTGGTGGGTCGTGGGTGGAGGGTGAGTGGTGGGGAGTGGTGGGTGAGTGAGTGGTGGGTGATTGTGGGTTGGGTGGAGGGTGGTGGGGGGTTGGCGAGTGGTGGGGGGTGGTGGTGGGTTGGGTGGAGGGTGGTGGGTGGAGGGTGAGTGGTGGGGAGTGGTGCATGAGTGAGTGGTGGGTGGTGGTGGGTTGGGTGGAGGGTGGTGGGGGGTGGGCGAGTGGTGGGGGGTGGGTGGGTGGAAGTTATCATCTCGCCACAGCCTCGCCCCCGAATGGTTGTGTTCAATGGCGGAGCCAGGATTTTCAGGTAGGGGGGGCAACCCCTCCAGCAATGAAAAATTATAGAGGAGTTGTTAGTAAGTAAGGACTGTTTAGACACCGCACCAGGTACTAATTTGAGGCTGAGCAGACCTATGGGAGGAGGCCCAGAGGACCGGTTTAGATAATCGTCACTGGTGGGGGCCGTGTGCGGGAATCTAACTCGGATTGCCTGATGATTCTGGTTGTAATGACCAGCGAAACGTCACAGTCCTCGAATTGTAAATGTTGTGGTACACAACCGGTGTGCTTAAGTAGTAACGAATTGGCACGTTTTGTTAACATGGCAAACCTTACTAAATCACCGTGTGGCGAGTTTAACGACATATTTATATTTACGTGACCTAACCCTTAAAAAAACTTTTTTAATGAATAACATTGGTTGCGAAAGCCTACATGCTATATGTTAATTATAAACCATTGTTATTTTACCAGGTAAGGCCCACTGAGTTATGTAGCTCTTTTTCAGAAGTGACCTGGCCTTCCAAAATGATAGCTCAACGAAGTTGCTTATCATCATCACATTGAATGTATAGCGGCAGCCATATTACTCTAAACGCATGACATTGATTCTCAATGTGGAGGGGAAAACCGGAGGCTCAGGAGAAAAATCCACGCGACGCCGCGGAGAGAGAGACACGCAAACTCCAAAAATATACAGCAAGCGTCAGGGTCGGGATCGAACCAACGACCTCCTGCACACCAGGCGAGGTAGTTAACATCTCCTAACCACCACGTGGCCGCCCTCAATGTGTCCCAGTTGAGCACCGCCCCCTCCCCCGAAAACACGTGGGTAGCCTTTGATGTTTTTACCTTTGAGTCACAGCCAATTGGTTGCTTGCAGCTCTCGCAGGCGTGGGTGTAGAGCGTCTCGTAGCAACGCACGCAGTACGGGTTCTCCTCGCGCAGGACGTACTTCTTGCCCAGCAGCGACTCCTTGCAGTAGTGGCAGTCGTAGCGTTCCGACGCCATCTTGATGATGTCACCTGCGGTTCAAACAATGGCGTCGCACGGCGCCACGTGCGCGCAGCACGTGTCACTTAAGTCCAAGCGCAATGTGCAACAGGCCCTGCCGCGTGTGCCCCTTTACTCAATGAGGGTCAGAAGAGGACCCTTTTGTGTTGTTGAGGCTTTTTTTGTTGTTGCAAGGAAGATCGCATTACTTTCTCTTGTCTTTCTAAGAATCATTTTCATTACTTTAAAGCTGATGCTTTACAAACCAAACTAGATGCCCGTTTAAGACTGAGTCGACCTCGCTTTTTTTTTTTCCCCCTCCACGTTTGGAATCATCGTCATGCGTTCAGAGTTATTTGGCTGCTGCCGTAAATTTTCACGTGATGATGATGATGGTAGGCCACCTTCGTTCAGCTGCTATAATTTGTGATGGCCAGATCGCCTCTGAAAAAAAAGGAGCTACGTAGTAGCTCGATGGGCCTCACCTGGTAAAATCAAAATTGGAAGTAATTAAAAAATTAGTCGAGGCCCAGGACCGGTTCAAATATTCACTACGGCTGTTTGTCGCGAGCGGCAAACGAACTCGGATTGTGGAGCGCGGTGCCGCTAACCGCTGCGCCACCGCTCCCTGCGTAAAGTATGGTCTTCGAGCAGCAGTGGATTGACAGAGGGACGAATGGCCGTACATTTAAAGTTGAGCTGTGACGAATCGTTGCCACCTACATTTAGGGAGAGAAGCAGGCTCTCACTTTCAGTGAATTGACCATAATACCTGAAGGGAAGGGGTAACCTTAGATTCCATACCTAGGCTACACGGACAGGTATTGAGTATGCGTTAGAATTACTAAGTGGACACGGGTGTTGATTAAGTTGCGTGTGTACGAACGTATGTGCATGTGTGTGCATGCAAGTCAAGGAAACGAATGATGGCATTATGAAAAATAAGAATAGATTTTACCCTCGATGGCAATTAAACAGAAGTTGTGTTAGGATGTTCAAACACCAAATATATTAAACATTTTTTCAAGGAATTAAGTCTGCATTAACCACACACAGGACTTGTGGTGAACATGCAACAATCGCTCTGATAACATATGCATTGTCCTTGAAACGAATTTGCCTACACCAGAAATAAGCCAACTGATTGGCCTACATCAGTTTCTAGGACAATTCATATATCATCAAAGCATGTTCACCACAATTACTTTGTGTGGTTAATGCAGTATTTTATTCATGTGAAAGATATCTATTTATTGCTTTAACATCTTAACACCCTTTATTGCCAAAAAGGGTAAACCCTATTCTTATTTTTCATACTTTAATACTGGCAAAAGGGTCCCATGAATGATGACAGATTAGTAGATCAGAGCTGGAACACCCGACTACTCACGTAAAATTACAGAAAAAGAGTTTTACGGCCGATGAAACGTCACTGATAGTGTTTACCAAACCAAATCCATTGTCTTAGGATCTTTTGGAGCGGGGGTTGGGGGTCATTTTCCGGTGCGTTTGAATGATCCTCAATTTTAAAAAATAACATAATGTATGTATATTTCGCACCGTGCCTAGCCAACCGTGCTTATCGGTAACCTACAACAAATAGAGCACGAGATTAGTTATTGCAAGTTTTGCCCCAACTCATAGCGTGATTTTAAACGGGGCCGAATTTCCCCCCGCCTTATAAAATGTGTTAATTCTCGATTACAAACAACAAACAACAGAAAAAACGCGTGCGGTTATTTATCAAGGCGACGTTAAATGACACGTAGACGTGCTTATACAGAAGGGGCAGCCAAAACGTTTGGATAATGATTCAGATGTGCCCATCATTTAGAGCAGTGGTTCTTCTTCTGAACCTGGGGGAGCATCTCGCACCCTCCGGGGGAATGGTGGGTGGAGGGGGGGGTGCGAGGCATGGCCAGATTATTTTTCAAAGGTAAATCATCAAAACACAAATTAAGCACGGCCACGTCAGTACCACTTAATTTCATTGAACCCTCTATGCATTCACATGATACATTTTATTTACGATCGAGAACCAAAGGGTTGCAAGGCTGCAGTCATGGTTAAGAACCACTGCTTTAAAGTATGATCGGGTTAAGAGGCGCCACGGTGGCTAGGAGATGTTAACTACCTCGCCTGGTATACAGGTGGTCGTGGGTTCGATCCCGACCCTGACGCCTGCTGTCAGGTCGCTTCTGAAAAATAAGGTAATAGCTCAGTGGGCTTTGCCCGGTAGGATGGGGATGTCTTATTTGGTTCTTTCGGTAAAGTCACGTAGAATGAGAATAAAATAATAAAATAACACAATAAATTTTCACGACGTTTCGGCCACAACGCAAGCGGCCGTCTTCAGGTGAAAGGTACAGACCTGTCGGGACGACAGAGCTTCATTGAAGCTCTGTCTTCATTGAAGCTCTGTCTTCATGAAGCTCTGTCGTCATTGAAGCGATGTCGTCCCGACAGTTCTGTACCTTTCACCTGAAGACGGCCGCTTGCGTTGTGGCCGAAACGTCGTGAGAATATTATTGTGTTATTTTATTTTATCAATTTATTATTTTATTCTCATTCTACGTGACTTTACCGAAAGAACCAAAGAAGATGAATCCTTGCAGTCACAAAAGCTTCAAATCGAAAGGATGGGGATGGTTTCATTGTTTTGGTTTGCGTTTGGATGATTTGTTGACCTTTGTTGTACTCTGCACTGCTGTCGTGTTTTTGTGACGTCTGCTATTGGAACGTTCAAACCCCGTGTCCCCTACTGGACATCTGTGAAAAAGAGCTGTATATTTTTTTGTTTCCTCCCACACAGCTTAAAGGACGCGACCTGGGTTTGGCTGTCTTCACTCCAACGCTGTCCTCTGGACAGTACGGTCCCTTCACCTGATGAAGGCCACTTGCGTTGTGGCCGAAACGTCGTGATTTTTGTTGTTTTATTTTTTGCCTACGTGACTTTACCGAATAGAACCAAAGAGTATGAGCTGTATAGCTTATCGGATTCCTCCACTGTTAACAAAGATTCTGATTCTGCATATTTGGAGTTTGTTTCTTCTCCCCGTGGTCGCGTGGATTTTTATTGAGGTCCTCCGGTTATTCCCCTCCACATTTAGAATTAATCTCATGCGTTTAGAGTATTTGACTGCTGCTATAAATTTCTATGTGATAATGATGATGATGATAAGCCGCTTCGTTGGGCTATTATTTGCCAGGTCGCTTCTGAAAAAGAGATACATAGCAGCTCAGCAGTGGGCCTTGTACACACCTGGTAAAATAAAAATAAATATTTTCGTTTCAGTTCGTCTGAGATGGATACCACTAACTCTAACCAACTTGTCCTGACCATCTAATTAGACTTTCGCTCATTCTCAAATGGGCACCACCACTCTACACCTTCTTCTGTCCTTATCTCCTCACGTCTTACCGGAGACATTAGTGCAGCCATTACAGAGATCCGTCTCGTCTTAACTACTACCCAATCCTACTTGTTGAGCACATTCTTAACTAGGTGAGAAACCCATTAGCCTCTTTTATATATTTTTAAACGAACAAAATGGGGGGGGAGGGTAATTAGTTTAATATCAAATGTTTTGACTGCCCGGTGTATCTACGTGTTGTCGTATATGAATGTTAAAGTGTGAACCGTTAAAGCGTTTGATTGGCACACACAGTAACGGAAGTCCGATCCATCCGTCGCCATCTTGATGACGTCACGCCGCCCCCTATAGAAACACAGGGTTAAGTGTTTCTGCATTTGTATAACTTTTATTTCCGTAACTTACTCTCATCAACTGCTGTATATCTCGACTTCTGTTGCAAGTGCCGATGTCATACCTGTCAACCCCTTATCAGTGCCCTACCTTATTACACCTTATTACAGACCAATTCAGACCTTATTGGTCATCCCGTGCCCCTCACAAATCTCAACGTTCATCCTACAAAGTCCCATCGCAAGGGAGAAACACAAAAAAATGTTCTACTAAATTTCCCTGCACAAGAATGCAGGTAAACAGTATGGGTTGACAGGTATGCGATGTTAACCACCGCTGTGGCCGCGGCTACTCGGCTCACGTTTCATTGACAACGTTTGTTTGGTGAGCTCGCTGCCTGAACCGCACAATCGACGCAAAGAAGACTCAACTCGATACATTCGTCAAAAGCCGCGCGCTCGTGTGTGCACGCGTGGTCTTAAAATAGGAGGGGGGAATTATAAATGTATACAACAGGCGACGTTCCGGGCCAATGGCCCTTTCGCATGACATGTTGGCAGTGACATTCGCAGCACGTGTGCCATGAAGAAGGCGCCTTCGCTCAGAAACGTCGCCCCACGGTGCCGATTTATCGGCGGACACGTTGAGTTTTCTTTGGAGGGGGAGGTGGTGGTGGTGGTGGTGGTATTGAGAGCGGTTCACGTGGACTCGTAAAATCAATTCACGTGGCTCGTTGCAACAGGGCGACATGAATGAATGTCTCCCGTTGAACGTGAATAACGAATGACGACGTCTCTGAAGGTTGTTAGGGGGGGGGGGGGGGGGTTGGTGTTGATGTTGTTCTTAGCGGGATCTGCAAGTCCAGTGGTGGTTTTTATTTAATTTAACATTCAAAGCTCTTGGTTGGGGTGACAAAGTGGCAAGACGGAGAGGGGGGCGGCGATTGAGAATGTTTCGAGAAAGGTTAAGGTCAAAACGTAGTCGGGCTTTGCCGACCAATGTTGTCCACAATAGAGGTTTTAGTTTTTTGGGGTGGCTTAGATCGCATAAACATAAACGTGTCGTTAGACCCGCAGCCACCCGACGCAGCCGAATTCGTAAGGTTTGTCACAGTTCTGGCTATGGCCTGATTATGCCGCTTGTTATTGTTGTAATTACCAGCGAAACGTCATGGTACTGGAATTGTAAACGTTTGAGTGGGTTTAGTCTCCAACACACAACCGGTTAATGCTGAACTGGTAACTAATTGGCCACGTTTTGTTTCCGTGACAAACCTTGGCTGTGTCGGGTGGTGATGGCGCGTTTAATGACACATTTATATTTAACCCAAAAACATCTCTATTACTTGCTTATTGCTCTGGTGGCGATGGTACTAATGAAGATGCTGATGATGCTGCTGATGATGATGCTGCTGTTGCTGATGTATGTTTGTTGACCTTATTTCTCACCGTACGTAGCCAAATGCGCTAATTGGAGGTGCGGGTGGAAAGACGACACTCCCTGGGAATGCGAGATGCCCTTTCTGGGTGGTGCAAGACATGGCCAGATTTGTTTTTAGACGCTAAATCATCAAAACACAAATTAAGCAGGGGGGCACGTAAGTAACAACTTTCTTTGTTTCATCAAAACCTCTACGTATTTATTATTCTTAGCTCTTTCGGTAAAGTCACGTTGAAGGGAAACAATAAAATAATAAAATATATATAAAACAATAAAATTTCTCACGACGTTTCGACCATAACATAAACGGTTTGTTTATATTTTATTATTTTATTGTTTCCCTTCAACGTGACTTTACCGAAAGAGCTAAGAATATGAATTACTGCAGTCACGAAAGCTTTAAATCAAATTCTCTACGTATTTATTAACATTATAAATTGTTTTAACCATTGAGCGGCAAAGGGGTGCAAGGCTACAGAAAAGGTTGAGAACCGCTGGCCCAGATTGATGACTTAAAAGTGGACAGCTCCCAGCGGCTTCCTAATATCGGAAGGGGAGGAGCGTTCCAGACGGCCGCCGAAGCAGCGAATCCGAAAGCGCCGTGCGACGCCTTCGTTCGATGGCTTGGGCCGAAAAGCCGCTGCTGCTGCTGCTGCTGCGAGGATATTAAGGGCACATCCCTCGAGATTCGTAAAACATTTCTAAATCTGGAGAGCACACGTTCTTTTTTCCTCGTCATTTACCCCTCCCCTCCCCCCCCCCCCCCCCCCCAAGAGCGGCTACACAAAATTACCCATTGGCCGCCAACGTGCGGTGTCAATAACGGAGCGGGATTCTCGGTGGATTACTCTGGAGTCGCTGGGGTTACAGCTTCGGAGTCGGGGGTCATGGTTATGGTCAGGGTCGCGTTCACCATGTCCGGCGGCTAAAGGCGATGGCCGTTGCAATGACACGTGGCACGCACGCGACACGCAGAAGGCTATGCACGCGTGGGCAATACGTGCATGCGTAACACGTGTGTGTGTGTGTTGTATATGTGTGTGTGTGCTCACTAACAGCACTTGCCGCAACAGTCTGTTAAGGCTACACGGGGGATCTTTGTGTTTGTGGGGAGCGGCGGTGTAGCGGTTAGCGCTACGCTGCACTATGAACCTGGCGACCCAAGTTTGATTCCCACCCATGGCGTACCAACACCAGTGACGATTATTTGAACCAGTCCTGGGTCTCCCCTAGGTCGACTCAGCCTCGAATTAATATCTGGTGCGGTGTGTAAACATCGCCACTGGGGAGACAAAGGCGGTCGGCAAACCTGCGGATCCGGAGCCACGAGGTGGCTCTTTAAGGACTGCAGTGTGGCTCTTGAAATATGGGAGGGTGGGGGGGGAGTCCAGTTTACCATGGAAATCCAGTTTACCATGGGAGTCAAGTTTACCATGGGAGTCCAGTTTACCATGGGAGTCCAATTTTTCCATGGAATCCAGTTTACCATGGAAATCCAGTTTACCATGGGAGTCCAGTTTACCATGGGAGTCCAGTTTACCATGGGAGTCCAGTTTTTCCATGGAAATCCAGTTTTACCATGGGAGTCCAGTTTTACAATGGAAATCCAGTTTACCATGTGAGTCCAGTTTACCATGGGAGTCTAGATTTACCATGGGAGTCTAATTTTCAATGGGAGTCCAGTTCACCATGGGAATGGCTTCGTGACCGTTATGTATTGAGGGGCCACCGCTCTTTAAATATTCGGGGGTGGGGGGGGGGGGGTTGGTTATTTTATTTGCAGACCCCCGATAGAGTGTTTACTGATATTTGTGCGCACACACACGTGCCAGCAAAGCAGTGTCCATGCATTTTGCGAGCAGAATACACACACGCACGCAAGCATATACTCACGATGTCGTTTAAAGCACGTGGATTATACAGACAAATATCCCCCCGTATGGTATTTAAACAGACTGTCGGGGCAAGTGCTGTTAGTAGCGAGTAGCAGCACCTATGAAGGCCGGCACGGCACACGAGGGGCGTGTGGGTGGCCAACACCACGCCCGGCCGCCTTTGTCTCCTCAGTGCCGCACCAAGTACTCATTTTGAGGCTGGGTCGACCTAGGGGAGGCCCAGGACCAGTTCAAATAATCCTCACCGCTGTTGGCTGTGAATGGGAATCTAACTTAGTAGCGCAATGCGCTGACCGCTACACTACCGCTCCCCACTACTCAAATATACACACAGATACACACACACATGCACAAACATACAAACACGTGTGTTCGTGTGTGTCAAATATAAAGAGACTGTAGGGGCAAGTGCTGTTAGCAAGCACCTGTGAACGCCGGCACGGCACATGAGGTGGGTGGCCAACACAACGCCCGGCCGCCTTTGTCTCCCTAGTAGCGATGTCTACACACCGCACCAGGTACTCGTTTGAGGCTGAGTCGACCTAGGGGAGACCCAGGACCGGTTCAGATAATCGTCATCGGTGTTGGCCGTGAGCGGGAATCGAACCTGGGTCGCCAGGTTCGTAGCGCAGCGTAGCGCTAACCGCTACACGACATAGCACACACACACACATATAAAGACACACGCATATACACGTACATACGTATATACATAGTAATGCATATACACACACGTACACTATGCACACACACATATAAGTACACACACACACAGGTACACGCACGCATATGCACACGTACACTATGCACACACACATATAAAGACACACACACACAGGCACACGCACGCATATGCACACGTACAGATACATGCACACATTCAAAACACATTCATACGTACACCAATGAATATGCGCACAAGCACGTGGTCGCCGTGTACAACGATCACGTGGTCGCCGCGTGCAACGCTCACGTGGTCGCCGCGTGCAACGATCACGTGGTCGCTGTGTGCAACGAGCTCGAGGTCGCCGCGTGCAACGGTCACGTGGTCGCCGCGTGCAACGAGCGCGCGGTCGCCGCGTGCAACGGTCACGTGGTCGCGAGGCGCCGTGACGCGTGTGTTTTTTACCTGTGACGTCACGCGCTTCCACACCGCGGCTCCGTCTCGCGGTGTCTCGCGCGGGCCCCTGCCCGAGCGCCCTTTTATCCTTTCCCTCTCCCCCGCGTCACCTCCCGCCCCGCCCCCTCTCGCCTCGCCCCTAAGAGACGGAGTTGAGATAAGGAGAGCAGGGGAGGGAAGGAGGGAGGGGAAGGAGGGAGGGGAGGTGGGGAGGGAGGTGGAGGTGGGGGTGGTTGTGCACTAGCGAGGGGACGTGCGAGTGATGAACGAGGAGAGCGATGGAGATGTCACGGCAGAGAGGCGGTGACGGTGGCATGAATCAGCGTCACGCCAACTGCGGTCAGCGTCCTCGCAGCAGCAGCGGCGGTGGTGGTGGTGGCTTTTGGCTGGCCATCGAAATGCTGCACAATGCATTGCACATTACACAATTTATTGTATACTACGCAATGCATTGCACGTTACACAATGCATTGTATACTGCACAATGCATTGTATACTACACAATGCATTGCACGTTACACAATGCATTGTATACTACGCAATGCATTGCACGTTACACAATGCATTGTATACTGCACAATGCATTGTATACTACACAATGCATTGCACGTTACACAATGCATTGTATACTACGCAATGCATTGCACGTTACACAATGCATTGTGTACTACACAATACATTGTATACTACACAATGCATTGCACGCTCCACAATGCATTGCACGCTCCACAATGCATTGCACGCTACGCAATGCATTGCACGCTATGCAATGCATTGCACGCTACCCAATGCATTGCACGCTACACAGTGCATTGTATACTACACAATGCATTGTATACTACACAATGCATTGCACGCTCCACAATGCATTGCACGCTCCACAATGCATTGCACGCTACGCAATGCATTGCACGCTACCCAATGCATTGCACGTTACACAATGCATTGCACGTTACACAATGCATTGTATACTACACAATTCATTTTGTAGGGTATAGTGTGATGTATAGTGTAGTGTATAGTGTAATATATAGTGTAGTGTATAGTGTAGTTTATAGAAGTGCAATGCATAGTGTATTGTAAAATAGCGTAGTGTCTAGTGTAGTGTATCGAAGCATAGTGTATATTGTAGTGTATAGTGTAGTGTATATTGTAATGTATAGTGTAGTGTATAGTAGTGTATAGTGTAGTGTATATTGTAGTGTATAGTGTAGTATGTAGTGTATAGTGTAGTATGTAGTGAATAGTGTAGTGTATAGTGTAGCGTGTCGTGTATAGTGTAGTGTACAGTGCAGTCTATAGTGTATAGTGTAGTGTATAGTGTAGTGTATAGTGTAGTGTATAGTGTAGTGTATATTGTAGTGAAGTGTATGTACGTTGAACTTCTTTCGCACCGTACCTAGCCAACCGCACTAATCGGAGGCTCGTTGGGCATTGGAGCCATTCGATTGAGCCCGTGCGTGCGGTGCGCGTGGTGGGATGGCGAAGCTAAATTTACCCACGTCGGTTCTGGGAGCGTTGGTACAGACCGGAGATAAATAATGAATGTAAAATAAATGGATTACGGAGGTATGCACATATGCATGCGTGGACGCGCCTCGAGGAAGTCTTGACTTCTTCCCGCATCCTTAATCCTCCGACACGAGTGTCAACACTTGCCCATCACACATGGAGAGAGAGATGTGTGTGTGCGTGTGTTGCATTCATAGTGGGGAGCGGTGGTGCAGCGGTTAGCGCTACGCTGCGCTACGAACCTGGCGACCCGGGTTCGATTCCCGCTCACGGCCCAACACCCAGTTACGATCATCTGAACCGATCCTGGGCCTCCCCTAGGTCGACTCACTCTCAAATGAGTACCTGGTGCGGTGTGTAAACATCGCGACTAGGGAGACAAAGGCGGTCGGGCGTGGTGCTGGCCACCACCCCCTCGTGTACCGTTCCGGCCTTCATAGGTGCTCGCTAACAGCACTTGCCCCTACAGTCTGTTAAGGCTATACGGGGGATCTTTGTGTGCATTCATAGTGGGGAGCGGTGGTGCAGCGGTTAGCGCTATGCTGCGCTACGAACCTGGCGACCCGGGTTCGATTCCCGCTCACGGCCAAAATCAGTGACGATTATCTGAACCGGTCCTGGGCCTCCCCTAGGTGGACTCAGCCTCAAATGAGTACCTGGTGTAGCGGTGTGTAGTGAACATCGCCACTGGGGGAGACAAAGGCGGCCGGGGCGTGGTGCTGGCCACCCACCCCCTCGTGTGCCATGCCAACCTTCATAGGTGCTCGCTAACAGCACTTGCCCCTACAGTCTGTTCAGGCTATACGGGGAGGTGTCTTTGTGTGGGGTAGTGTCCGGTGGAGGGGGGGGGGTAGAGAGAGAAAGTGAGTATCCATCAACACCAGGGCCTATCCCTCCAACGCCGCATGTCCGTCGTCGGAACGCCGGGGCCTAATTGAGGAAAAGTATCCACGTGGAGCTCCGGCGGGTGGCGGCCGGGGCGTGGTGCTGGGCCACCCACCCCCCTCGTGTGCCACAGTGCCGGCCTTCACAGGCGCTGCTGCTCGCTAACAGCACTTGCCCCAACAGTCTGCGAAGGCTACACGGGGGATCTTTGCACGAATTGTAATCCGGGTGGTCAAGCGGTTCCATTTGGTGGGAATCCATCTGCGGCGACATTAACGGGCCGCTCTGTGGCGACAGCGGGTGCACCTTGCGCAAGGGCTCGCTAGGGGGCAGATTCCGGATGTCACGGAGGTCGGGTCAGGACACGACAGTCTGGGTGAACCCGCGAGAGAGCACGTGACCGCACGAGGGGGGCACGGGCCCCCCACCCCCCCCCCCAGAAGGAGGTGAGCCGGGGCCACCGTGGTTTGGGGCCCAGACTCTTCGCGAAGGATCGAGAAGGGGGGCGTGACCAGGGGCGGAGCCCGGCCACGTGACGGGAGATAGAAGCCGAGCCCCGAGAGGTAACGGGGGCTGTTCAAACCCTCACAATCGCTGGCCCCGCCCTCTTGCCCGATGCGGCAACGCCCCCCCCCCCGCCACCACCACCCCTCGGGTCAATATAATGCCTCGTCCACAGCAGTCTGATTCTCTCACCGGAAGACGGTCGCTTGTGTCGCGATTCGAAACGTCGTGATCAACTATCATAATTTTTTCTACTCAAGTGACTTTCCCGAAAGAGCCGAAGGACTATGGATTCTGCAGTCACGAAAGCTTCAGATCAAGAAGGAGTCGCATCCTCCGATCTTCGATCTTCAGCCCGCGACGACACGGCGAAGTGTCGGCTGTTCCGGTTCAACCACATGGGAGATCCGTTCAAGTGGTTAGGTGGTTAGGAACGGTGGCCGCCACCTTACGTAGTGAACCTGTGATGTACGTAGTCGCTCTCAGTGTACATGGTTAACATTGGAACGTTGAATAGTGTTGGTTGTATCTTGACTTAAAGCTTTCGTGACTGCAGGAATTCATTCTCCTACAGCCAAAACTCCTCCCCTCTCCCCCACTTCCCTCTCCCCCTCCCGTGCCTATATGAAGCCACAACAGCAGATCAATTTTTTTTCTCACCTGAAGACGGACGCTTGTGTTGCGACCGAAACGTCGTGTTTTATTTTATTGTATTGCTTTTTTCTACCTAAAGCTTCAAATCAAGAAGGGATTCATATTCGTTGGGTCTTTCGGTAAAGTCACGTAGATAGAACAATAAAATAACGAAAATGAAGCGAATTATTATTCTTGATTTGAAGCTCTCGTGGCTGCAGGAATCCATACTCTCTGGTTCTTTCGTAAAGTCACTATAGATTTTATGTTCTATTCTTATTTTTTCTATCTACGTGACTTTACCGAAAGACGCAAAGAATAGTGTTGGCTGTGTTAGAGAACAAAACGCCTTGCCCCCCGGGTCTTGGTGTGCGCCTGATTAGAACCCACGACACACGGAGACTTTGACACTTGTCAGGGATGAAGGCCGAATCGGCGCTGCTGACATCTCGCGCGGGGCTCAAGCGACTGAGCTGCTGAAGCACCGTCGGCCCAAACGCGGTCACTCGACCGGCGAAAGGTCAGCCACCTACCCGTAGCCTCTTCCATCGTGGCTGATGTTCCTCCCTTGTCAACGAGCTATGAACCGCCGTCACACAAACTTCATTCATCATCCTCGCAGCAGCGGTGGCTTCTGGCTAACCGTGAAACATAGACGGTCACTGCACAGTCACTCGACCGACGAAAGTCAGTCACCTACCCATGCCTCAGACGAGTACCTGTGCGGTGTGTAAAACATTGGCACGAGGGAGACAAAGGCGGCCGGGCGCGGTGTTGGCCACCCCCCCCCCCCCCTCATGTGCTGTGCCGGCCTTCATAGGTGCTGCTGCTACTCACTAACAGCACTTGCCCCAACAGCCTGTGACATGCTTACACGGGGGATCTTTGTCTTTTGTCATATACACGGACCTCTGATTAGCGCGGTTGGCTATGTACGGTTGCGAAAGAAGTTCAACATACACACACACAGAGACCCACAAATCCATAGAGACCCACAGAGACCCATAGAAACCCATAGATCAGCGCGGTTGGCTATGTACGGTGCGAAAGAAGTTCGACGTGCATAATATATGTAGCGAGACACAGGGGTGGATAGCCAACACCACGCCCGGCCGCCTTTGTATCCCCAAATGCTGATTGCCGTTCGGCGCACAACCACACCAGGCACTCGTTAAGGCTGATTCGACCTAGGGGAGGGCGGGGGGGCTTGAATATTCGCACGCGTTTAAGAGTTATTTGGCTTCCGCTATAAATGTCCACGTGATGATGATACACCACGTGGTTGAGCTGCTATTGTTGTGATAGCCAGGGTCGCTTCAGAATAAGAGATCAGTAGCATCTCAGTGGGGCCCATAGCTGGTAAAATAAAAGATAGATTAGTTTAGTTATATAAAACATTTGTTGATTTAAAGCTTTCGTGACTGCAGGGATTCATATTCTTGGTTCTTTATTGGTTCTTTATTTTATTTTGTTTTATTTTTATTAGTTTATTATTTCCCTTCTACGTGACTTTACCGAAAGAA